ATTGTTTTCACTGTAATTTATTTTTTTATTATTTAGGGAGCATTATAAATAGTTATCTTTTTAAAAGAAAAAACTACTATTGTTATAACACATTCAATTGAACTAAACTACGCATGCTTATTTAAATATACTTAGACATGGCTTGTGTATATCATATATATACATATATATATTATTCATACCTTTGGTGTATAGGATGTAAACAGATTTTGACATCAAATTTTGGGGTAAAAAAGTGCATCTTATACACCGAAAAATACAGTAAGTTGTCAGGCTAATTGGTTTGATTTATGGGAGGGGTTTAATGGTAAGGAAGAGCTGTTTACCTTCAACAATCTCACTTACATTGGTGGGGAAACAATACCCATGAAAACACTAAATGGTTACATTGAGGACTGTTTATAGGATATTTTGGAAGTGAGAATAATGTTTCGACATTGGGGAATTTTGCCTCAGCTTATGAGAGATATAACAAATTATTCAATTTATTTTACAGAATGTGAGGGAGTTAACAGAAAGCTTACATTTTTTACAATAATACTAGAAGAATATTTATTTGTATCAGGTTATTACAATTAAAGAGTTTGGTTGGATGTTCAAATGATTATGATGAGAGTTCAGAAAGCTTGGTTTTCTAGAGACCATGTAAACAAGTGGAAAGGAGATACTTAGTTAACCAGAAATTGTTGCATAAGAGGTAAGTAGTAATTTATCATGTATATGGTTTAATTGTTGTATAAGAATGGGAAAATATGCTTTTAGACTATTTTTACTCACCTTTTGTTCAGGATACTGAAACTCATTTGAATACATACACACAGTAAGAAATATGGATGTACTGTTATGGGAGCTTTCAATTTTATGGACAGACTGTATTATCATGGCACACACAAAGCTGAGCAGTTCACTGAAGAGATAAATGGTTTTAACTCAACATCTACTAGAGAAGATGCTATATTAGACCTTGGTTTTAGATCTAGTGAGGATACTGTTGGATTACTTTAATGAAAATATCAATGATTGTAACACTACAACTTTTAATGTTTGTTGTGAGACCAGTTGTAGAGTAAATAAATTTTATGTTCATGATTTCATAAAGGATGACTTTCAGAAATAACTGATTAAATAAATTGATGAATGAAACCAGATTCATAAAGAAAAGTGTGGGTGCAAAGCTCAAACTTTTGCGACTCATGTCTATAAACTTTAACAGGACTGAAGTCCATATAAATCATTTTCAAACTAAAGGCAAAACCCTAAGTTGGTTCAGAAGAAATATATATCTATATACATAGAGAGAAAGAAATAGATAAATTTGGGTCTATCAAGGATATGTAAATCACTGGTAAAGTGGGAAATGTGATGAAAAACTAAAATAAACAAGAACAAACAGGTTAAAATGGCTTTAATTGAGTCTAGAAGAGACATTCCAAGGTTCTTAGTATGTAACAATAATATGATTTTAAATATTTCATGGATATATATATATATATATATAAGAAAGATCAAAGAGAACATTGAACTTCTATGAAACTTAAATGAAAATCTCATTTTTGAAGAGGAAAACACAATTCAAGCGTTAAACATTTTATTTGTGCTATGTAGTTGTAGATGGGCTTGATAAATTTCACTGACCTTGTTACCACCATGTAACTATAAAATTATATATAATATAACACTGAATGTACTAAGTATACCTTCACTAAATTTGACAAGCTTTTAGTAAATATTACAAGTATGTTGCACACAAAAAAACAATTTTTAACAAAGTATTTTACCTAAAGATTTGTTTGTGAGTTTATGAAGCCTTTATGGAGTCAGACAGAGTGAAAGGTGATTTTAAGGCTAAGAATACAAATATTTTTCATCTTACTATTCATATTTCATATGCATAACCTTAAGAACCTTCTGTACCAAAATCATTAATGTACAGTGAGTGAAAAGTTTAAAAATATGAAATACAAGCCGAGTACGCACATGATAAATAACATAAAAATCCTAACTTTCACACAATTTATTTATAACATAACATATTATTACAGTATTTATTATTACCTCACCAAAAGTTTTGATAAGATTTAAGAACCCAATATGTATATACTTAAAACATGGTATATACTGTGCGATGATCAGGGTGACTTTGTAGGAAGAGGTAGCAACCAAAGTAGTCGCAGTAGGTGTGTTTTATGTTTCCCGCTTTCAACACGCAGCTCTAAATGTCCTTCAACAGCATTTCATGTGATTGATAGTCTGGTCATTGGTCACAGAAGTGTCTTACATGCTGAAGTTGAAAGGTCATGGGTCAAAGTTGGAAGTGGATATAATTCAAGTAATGATTCTTCATGTCAGCCTTATGGTTGCTGTTGGAGTAGAAACTTCAGCTGAGTTTATGTATTACTGCAATAGTGGCAGCCACTTATTTTCATTGCATTCCCAGTGCTCTCTCTGAGATATATACAAGACATTAGTATGCCCACTCCCCACACTTTATAGAAAATTTAATACTTTTTTTTTTACTGTAAAGACGTGGTGTCATCCATGAATGTAGTTAACATTAACTTACGTTACAGATAATAAATAAATGCTCAATAACAGCAATAATGGGGTGGAGGGGTTGTTAACCACCAATTAACATGTCCCTTGTTCCAAACTATCCTTCCACAAAGTTTGGTTGATATCGGCCCAGTGAACTAGGAGTAGTTAGATATCAGACAGACAGATTTTTGTGTTTTATGTATAAATAAAATCAGAAATACCTTTTTTCTAGAATGACTAAAGATTGTAACAGACAGTTATAATAATTTTTCGTAACACATTTAGACCTCTTAATCTTTCCACAACTCTTTTCATTTAAATATATTATTCTATGAGCCATGTCTAATTAGCATAAAAAAACACTAAATCACCTAGGTAAACAGATGTTAACCTTTTCCT